GATTCCGTCATAAACTGAGTTCGGATCATTATAAATTTAGTTCAACCTGTGGGTCTGATAAGAAACTAAATTCATTCTTTATATATTAGGTTACATGCTGTGAAATCCGATTGAATTTAAAAATTTATATTAAAATCATAAAGTTTTATCTTCAAATTATTTATATGAATTATTTATATTAGAGGTAGCATATAAAAAGTTTCTGAAAAGATTTATTATATTTTTCATTTTATTAATAACATGTAAAAAGTATTTATCTTTTGTTAATAATATATAATAAATATTTATTTCTTATTAATACCTTAAAAAATAAAAAAAAATTCTAGTATTTTTTTCAGTGATGACAAGATTCAAAATACTTTATAAATTATTCAAATAAAACTTTTATTTTTTTTCTATCTAAGAGCTTGTATATCCATGGCATTAATCATGGAATATCAAGACCAAACACGCTTATTTTTTGAATTAAAAGTTGTTTATTTTATTTATTATTATAACACAAATACCATGACTAGTATTGTCAATATTTGCATTTTTTGGGCCAAGAAAAAAAAATTCATGAATGTTTGATTAATTATTATTTATATATCAAATAACATCTTCTCTGAATATACTAGATTTTTAGAACGTCATCATTTTCATTATTTTTATTAATGTATGTGTAATTTTTAATTAATATGAATATTTAGGTCAATTTACATATATTTTAATTAATTTTATTGATTCTAAAGTTAACAATTATGTATGTTTTAAGTGGTATTGAAATTTATGAGATTCAAATTGATGATTTTTAGAAAGCAAATCTAAAACTTGATTAGTTAAATTATACTTTCAAAATTTTTATTTAAAATTATTAATTTTATTATTAAAAAATATTTAAATCTCTCAACAATGACTGTTTTTACAGATACCATGTTTAGTATTGTAACTTTTTGCATTTCTTGAGCTAAAAAAGAAAGAAATAAGTACATGCACATTTGATTAGTTATTATTCATATATCAAATAATATGTTCTTTGAATATACTAAAATTTTAGAATATCATCAATTTGTATTAACCTTCAATTGGCATTGCATTGCTTCAACAATGACCGTTGAAAATTAGACCGATGTTGAGTTGCTGAGAAAATGTGAAAGAAAACGAGAGAGAGTAGATTTAAAATACCCTGTTTCCGCTGTGTCTGCGACTGAGATACATTGCCAACAATGACAAGAAATGTAGAAAAAGGGTTTTATTAGGGTTTTAATTAGAAACAACAAAATTATGTTTGATTTAGGTTTAGAGAAAGAGACAGAGAGGTGTTTGAAAGAGAAAAAGAAATCATCAATAGAATAAAGTGAAAAACAAATTATTTTTTGGTTGATTTATAATACAATATATATATATATAATGATAATTTAATTATTTTATTTTATTTAAAAATTTAAATTAATTCGGGATAATTTAATTATTTTATTTTATTTAAAAATTTAAATTGATTCGGGATATAAAATATAATTTTTGAAATAAAAATACAAAATAAATAAACAAACTATAATTTGTTTATGTAATTAATCATTTTCGGATTTATCTACATTACCTACTAGAGGAATGTAGCACTGAAAGGCGATAAAAACGTTGTTCGTCAAGGTTCATTTATAATATAATATATATATGTTTTTACTAGCATCGACTAAAATTATAAGATTTACTTTAAAATAGAAAAATACATATTTGATTTGATTTGTAATTTGAAAAAATACATTGATAAAGTATACGTTGTTTCTTAAATAGTCTTTTTCTTTCTCTCTCAACAATCTTGAAAAAAATTGTATCTATGTTTACTTGAAAACACATATTATAATTACATTAAATTAAAAACAAAAGTTAAAATGTGTGCACGTTAATTTGAAAATATTTCTTTTATCATCCATTTAAAAACAAGAATAATTGCATAATTTTATTTTACAAAATTTCATATAATTAATAACTAATATGTTATTTTATTTTGAAACAAAATATATTTTTTGACTTGTTTTAATCTTTTAATATTCTCTTATTCGCTCAAATTAAATTAAAGATTTTTCAATCATGCCCTCACTCACTCATGTCATCTTTTTAAGTATTTATTTAGAAATGTAATAAAAATTATTTTTATTTAGAAATTTTTTAAAATAATATTTTTTTATTTTTTAATATTAACATTTTAAAATTATCTAAAAATATAAAAATAATAATTTAAAACTAAAAAATATTTAAGAACACCTGGACTGCAATCCAATCTCATTCAAGTAAAAAAAATTAAAAATGCACAACAATGCACTATGCTTATCATAATTATCAAATTTATAAGTTAATTAATAAAATAATATGATTTTAGAAGTCAACATAGATATAACATATTAAATTATGTAAAAAATTTGAAAACTAGTAAACTCGATTATAATTGGTCAAACTTGAATGGGGTTTACCGAGTTTAATAAAATTAATAAAAATTATTGATTATAAGATTGTATCTTCACTTATAAAGTCTTTAAGTACAACTCCCTCACCTTCTCGTCCAGCTAGCTTGGGCACGCTACACGAATATTAGAACATGCACCCAAAACAACCTCGTAACTTTGTGCTATTGAAACTATTTTTTATACGCAATCCCAACAAATTGAGATCCTGCAAACGGGAATCAGAAGAGTTTGATAAGACACATGAAAAATATTACCATCAACTCTATATTTAATGAAATGAAGTTATAGAAATACTTTATAAGGCTGCTAGGTAGTAATCCCTTGATTTTTCTTTTACAATTATGATTCTTAAAAAGATATATGTTGGTAAAAATATCATTATTAACTTTATATTTAAAGAAGTAAAATTATAAAAATACTTTATAAGTATTGGCTGTGTTAAGAAATATTGGTAAAAATATCATTATTAATTTTATATTTAATAAAATAAAGTTTAATACTAATATTTTTTAAATAGTAAGATTTACTTTCAAGAAGTTAGTATCTAAAAGTAACTTTATAGTATTAATTTGAGTTGATTATTTACTTCCGCATCAATATATTATTTATTTTAAATTTATTAATTAATATAAATTTATTTAAATTATATTTAAATTTATATTTAAATTATGTATTTTAAAATATTTAAACTTTACATAAATTTAATGCATGCATTTCAATATACTTGAATTTTATATAAAAATATTTCTTTATAATTTTATGATTTTATTATTCATTTTTATGATTTAAATTTATTTTATATTTTCTGTGTCGGCGTCGAAAATCCCTTATTCCAATGCTGCAGAGTACTATCTCATGTCACTACTCACCACCACCACCACCCTCTCACTGGTCACTACAGCTGCCGGTGCGGTGCGGGGCAGTGCAGACAGAAGAAAGAAATTAAATTCAAAGAGGCTGATGATAGAGAAAAACAACCAGCAATACTAGTAGTAGTTTCCATTTCCTTAATCCAAAGCCAATCGTTTCGGAAAAGCAGAAACCTCAGCATCGACGCCATTCAAACAATACAAGCCTTCAGAAATAAAACGAGCTTACTTACAAAAACGACAAGTCGCTGCTTGATCAAGCCTTCCGTCCTAAATTCAACCGATTGTTGAAGTTCGTCTTGACTGCCGTTCCTCGCCAACTCCTCCGCCAGAACCACTGCCTTTTGGCTCTCAAGGTCAAATATCACTCATTATTTATTTTTAAAACCCAATCACAGAGGAGTACTGGTACGAACCACAAGTGGTGTTTTATGATGAGATGATTAAAGTAATGTCTAGCAATGGATTTATTGACGAGGTTTGGCTTCTTTTTTTAGGTATTTGGAGACTGAAATTAGTGGTGATTTACAGTGAATTTAATCAACTGTTAATGACTCCGATTAGTTTTAAGCTGAGTGGACTTGTTACGGAGTGCTATGAAGTGCCTGTTTGTTATCTTATAAATTGTTTTTCAAAATGTTTTTTATTTTGAAGTGTAAGAATTAATATTTTTTTTAATATTAACATCAATTAAAAAATTAAAAATTAAAAATAGAAAAAAATTCCAAAATACAATTCAAGTCTGTTGTAATAGGATGACAGGTCTCCATACTTCAAGTGGTTTAGAATACATTGGCGATTCTGTTACTGTCAGGCAGGATGCTTACAGGTATTATGGTGATTCCCTCAATTACGACGGGGGAAGAGATAGCAAGTTGAGTTACTTGAAGTAATAGACAGATCAAAATTCCAGCTTTTGAATTGGTTAGTTCACCATCACTTGGCACTAAGAGTACCTTGTGAAGAGCAACCTGGAATGTGTGTTGAACTTCATGTTGCTGACAGAGATATCATACATGACCTTTTGGTTCTGCAATGCCAGCATGGTACATGTTTCTTCATTTAACTCCATCTCTATGACCTCTTCTGTCATTACCAATAGCCTGTGTTCTTCTTTTGCCACTTCGTTTAATTTTGGTCGTTTTTTGTAGTTGTATCAGATATGTAGTAGAAACTCACTTCTTTTACTCTCCATTAATGTTGAAGTGGGTGATTTTCTTTCCTCTGTTAATCTATCCTAGCTGTTATAATTACTTTTATTAAAATAAAAAACCCATTTTACACGCTGGAAATGTAAAGAGCAACGACTGTGTAGACAATTGTATTTCAATTGTCTCCCAAATGAATTAAAGTAAGAAATGTTTTATCCTGGTAGCTCATGTGACTGGAAAGGTTCAGCAATTTGTTCTAGACCTGGTAGCTGTGTCATCTCTACAACAACATAAATTCACTTCTTTGGTTGTGCTTTACTTACCTCAGTTTTCAATATTGAGCCTCTGTAATTTGGACATCAAATGAGTGTCTCTCTTTGTTTTCCCCTGCATTACATACTAGCATTTGCATTTGATGAGAAAGCTTCCATCATTGATGATTTCCACAGCTGTGCTTAATTTATAATCATTCTTGTAGAATCAAAGTGAATCATCTCAAAGTACAGCCTAGTTCATGAAGCAAGGATTGCCTGGTAAAAAACTCACGGTAAGAAATACATATCTTAAACTTTTCTCTTGTCTTTTGAAGTGAATATAAACTTTAAACATTTCAGTAGTTACACATTTCAAGAGCAGTTAACTTTCTACTCTGAAAAGCACGTAACGAGACAAAACTGGGACCTTGCACTCCTTTTTTCCCCAACTTTCTTTTACAACTTTCTTACCTTCTTTTGACCAAGAACCAACTTCATCACATAGCAGGAGAATTTTAGTCATTCTAAGCAAAAGAGAAGTGTGAACCTTTGCCTCGAGCCTAAAAGCCTCTCACACTAGAATTGTTTGCCTTCAAATGTCTGACCGAATTGCCAGTTTGCTGGTGCAACATTGTAAGATGTGAGTGTTTTTCTGCTGCTGGTTGTAACCTCGAAAGATAGAGGTTGTCCAATAAGGTTGACATTAGATTGCCAGTTTTGTCCCCAGTTTCTTGCCATAGGTATCCAAGCTGTTTTCGAACCCTTCACTTTCACAGCAATCACCTCGCCATCCAACCCCACATTAGAGATCAGGACTTGATAGAAGTGAAAATTTCCACTCACTGTGAATCTCAGTCCACCCCTTCTTACACCCTTCACCCTACACAAAATTAGCATAATTAACGTTTGCTCATCGCTAAGGTACTAGAAAATAGAGAAGCCTATACTCATTTAGCAAGTAATTGCGAATTGATTAGTGATACCTTCTGTGTTGAACTGGCACAATATCAGCTTTTCTCTCTGCGATTTCAGTAAATGCTGCCTCTGACATCTCAAAATGTTCTTTCGGGAAATTACACCAGCCACCATAATCCGCCGAAAGCCCGTAATTGGGAGGGCAGAAATCTGTTGCAGTGAGAATGACTGAGGGGCTACCCTGCAGGCACCATAAGATGTGGTCGACACATCTGACCTCGAAGCAAGCCCCACAGGTACTCCCTCTGTTGAACAGCATGCTACTTAGTCCAGCACTGTACTTTCCATAGGTGGCCTTGTGAAGGTCCGCATACCCACAAGCACCTTCTGCAACATTAAACAATGGCAGTGTAATCTTTACAATCCAAACTGGAACTTTTTTTGGTGGAATATGAAACACCATTACGAGTTGAAGAAACAGAATGTTTCACCCTTACTAGGACCAGTTGGTAGAGAATTACCTACAACGATGGATCCATTTGTTTCCTTAACGTATGTTGCAGTGGCAGACTTCCATTCCTCATCATCAGCGGTGATCTTCCATGTCTGGTGTATAATCAAGTAGAGAAGCATGGCTTTTAGAGCACCCATTTGATAAGCAACGACCATGAGAATTCTGATTTGTACTTGATGAGATTCTTCTCTTCTCTGTGAAATTATGGTCTCGAGTGAAGAGAAAGACCACCCTTTTCTTTGGGAAATGACCCGAATCTCCTTGCTGAAATGAAGCTAGCTTTGTTGGTCAGATGGCCACCCCTTAGACGAAACTGTGAAATTTTGACAAATAGGCTCTCTTTGGAAGACCGTAGTCCAAAATGTAGGGACGTGCAGCAAACCCGAGAGGAAGGGTAGCTTTGGTCTATCATGGACAAAAGCAATGCCTTCTTTTCTTTGATTTTTTCAAGCTGGGAATGTAAACCCAAAAAAGGGTTTAGGGATTGTGTATGGAGGTTGCATGGTTTGTTGTTGTGGCAGACACGGAGAGCGGAAAGTCTTTGGCCCTGTTTCTACTTGCCTGCACACATTTGTTGTTATTTACATAATTTGGCTCGTCTTTTGAGAAGAAACCAAGCGGGAACCCCATGGCCATATGGAAGAGAAAGCGTGATTGACTCATTGGAAGCTTGATGAGTATATTTGGAGTTGATTGGCTTCTATGAAATGAAGCAAGATGTCTGGTGAAATTTATGACCACGCGGTTGCCTCTGCTGTGCTTGCAGCCTGCGGTGATTGCAGCCTGCTCATAAAGAAATTGTGTGCTCGAACGGTTGGCTTGGGCATTCGCGCTAGTGTGCTTTGCTGTAGGAATTCTTGTAAATAATGAAAATAATAAATATTATTTTGAAAGTTTTTTTTATTTGTATTTATATAATAAATTTTAATATGAAATAATAGCTAATAAAAAAATAATGGTTCGTGTATGTTGAGCTAAAAGAAAAATCTTTAATTGCTCTTGTACTCGAAATAATATCAATATTTTTGGCACATCTTTTTTTTCTGAAATTATAATTTTATAAATACTTGAAATTAATTTTTTAATAGTCATAAAATCATAACAACTTTTTTATTTTAAAATATTTTTATTATTTACAATTCTTTAATTTTTTAATAATTTTTTAATTTTCTAATTTATTTTCTGTTTAGTTGTTATATGTTAGCAATCTTTCTCTCTCTCTATGTATATATAATGTATTTTTACAGTCA